GCCCTGCGCCCCCTTCACCCCCCCCCGCCCCCCAGGGGTCCCCATCACGCCTGTGAGAGCCCAGCAGGCCCTGTCACACCCACATCAGCCCAGCAGGCCCAGTCACACCCTCCCGCCCCCCAGGGGTCCCCATCACGCCTGTGAGAGCCCAGCAGGCCCCGTCACACCCGCATCAGCCCAGCAGGCCCTGTCACACCCACATCAGCCCAGCGGCCCCGTCACACCCGCATCAGCCCAGCAGGCCCTGGGCCACCTCAGCCGCAGAGCCGCTGCGGCGTTGCCCCGGCAGTGGCTGTGCGCAGTCCGGAGCGGTGTCGCCCTGTGCTAGGCGCTCTGCCCAGCCAGCCTCCATCAGCGCCGCTCAGCTCTCTTGAAAACACAACAGCAAATAAAGCCGCTGCGGCGTTGCCCCGGCAGTGGCTGTGCGCAGTCCGGAGCGGTGTCGCCCTGTGCTAGGCGCTCTGCCCAGCCAGCCTCCATCAGCGCCGCTCAGCTCTCTTGAAAACACAACAGCAAATACAAGCCCAAGGGGTAAGGTGATATTAAGAAGCTGGAATACGAGGCAGTCAGGCAATCTGGACATTAACATTCTCAGGCCATGGCAGATGCTCAGAGGTGCACTTACAAGCATTTATGTGGAGTAATCAATATTGTAGGGATTCATTTGCTCTGAATATTATATATACAGATTGTTCCCTCTATTTCCATGACAGAGGGGATTGAGACTCAGTAGATTCTAGTCAATTCAGGTTTGTTTTTATAAGACTTACAGTATTGCCAATCCCCAAAGTAGTTTTTTTAAAGTGAATCCCCCCCAAAATCATGAGTTTTTTCTTTAAACAAAAATTATTAAAGCATGATTTTTTTATCTGCCTACTGCATTATGTATTCCCCCATCTGCTCCACTGTGGGTGTGACAATTACTGTCTTGTCAAATTTACAGTGAATACATTGATTTTGGCTACTGCTGCAGGAGGACCCAACACAGATCAGGGCCCTCCTGTGCTAGGTGCTATAAAAACCACACAGTAAAAGTCCTTCTCCCCAAAAGCTTCTAATCTAGTACAATACATGGTGGCTTGTGCTATGATGGGTCTCACATCCAGATTTTAATCTTTTTTATATTACGTGAGCTGAATTATTAAGCATTCCAATATGCAGCTGTGCAGAACATGACCCCAAATCATTGCCCACCTGCTCTGGAAAGTTTTGTTTTGGTTTACTTTTAAGATGTTATTCCTTGGAAATGCTCATAACTCTGAACCCCACATTATAAGAACATAAGAATGACCATACTGGGTAAGACCAAAGGTCCATCCAGCCAGTTCCCTGTCTGCTGACAGTGGCCAATGCCAGGTATCCCAGAGGGAGTGAATCAAACAGGTAATGATCAAGCCATCTCTCTCCTGTCATCCATCTCCATCCTCTGACAAACAGAGGCTGGAGACACCATTCCTTACCCATCCTGGCTAATAGCCATTTATGGACTTAACCTCCATGAATTTATCTATTTCTCTTTTAAACCCTGTTATAGTCCTAGCCTTCACAACCTCCTCAGGCAAGGAGTTCCACAGATTGACTATGTGCTGTGTGAAGAAGAACTTCCTTTTATTTGTTTTAAACCTGCTGCCTATTAGTTTCACTAGTTCTTATATTATGGGAACAAGTAAATAACTTTTCCTTATTTACTTTCTCAACACCATTCGTGATTTTATATATCTCTATCATATCCCCCCTTAGTCTCTTCTTTTCCAAGATGAAAAGTCCTAGTCTCTTTAATCTCTCCTGATATGGGACCCATTCCAAACCCATATAAGGGCAATAAGATATTCTGTGTCTTATTCTCTATCCCTTTTTTAATGATTCCTAACATCCTGTTTGCTTTTCTGACTGCCGCGGCACACTGTGTGGACGTCTTCAGAGAATTATCCACGATGACTCCAAGATCTCTTTCCTGATTAGTTGTAGCTAAATTAGCCTCCATCATATTGTATGTATACTTGGGGTTGTTTTTTCCAATGTGCCCACATTAAATTTCATTTACCATTTTGTTGCCCAATCACTCAGTTTGTTGAGATCTTTTTGAAGTTCTTCACGGTCTGCTTTGCTCTTAACTACCTTGAGCAGTTTAGTATAGTCTGCAAACTTTGCCACCTCACTGTTTACCCCTTTTTCCAGATCATTTATGAATATGTTGAATAGGATTGGTCCTAGGACTGACCCTTGGGGGACACCACTAGTTACCCCTCTCCATTCTGAAAATTTACCATTTATTCCTACCCTTTGCTTCCTGTCTTTTAACCAGTTCTCAGTCCATGAAAGGATCTTCCCTCTTATCCCATGACAACTTAATTTACGTAAGAACCTTTGGTGAGGGACCTTGTGAAAGGCTTTCTGGAAATCTAAGTACACTAGATTTACTGGATCCCCGTTGTCCACATGTTTGTTGACCACTTCAAAGAATTCTAATAAATTAGTAAGATTTCTTTTTCTCTCTCACTGTTTCTTTTACATGGTTGTTAAGCCATGGTGGCTCTTTTTTAGTTCTTCTATGTTTTTTAATGTGGGGTATACCTTTAAGTTGGACCTCTATTATGGCTCTTTCTGAAGTTTGCAGCTGAATATTCACTTAATACCGCATTGAAACTTTGCAGAAGAAAAATGCTGCTTTCCCTTTATTTTTAGTAGTTTGTTTAATATAATAATGTACTCTTTCTTGGTCTCTGCTGCTGCTTGAGGCATACTTCTAGTTCCAAATAAGGTTTGTGGTTGGCTGCTCAGTTTGTAAATCTGGTGTTCATAGCTCCAAATTTTTACTGTATTGGGGACAGACAGGAATACTTCTAATCTGGTAACAGCTGTGGGAATCCTGTCTCTGAAGTGCAGGATGCTTGTAAGATATATACTAGCATTTCTCTCCTTAAGAAGCTAAAAAAGGACATGGTGCAGCAGAATTTATCAGCAAATTCAAGAGCTATGACAGAATGCAAACAGGGACAGATTCTGACCCATACCATACCTCAGTAAATTCAGTATAACTTAGTTATTTCACTGGAACTGATGTACATTTACACAGCTGTACCAAACCAGATTTTGGCTCATAAGGACTGATATGTTCAGTTGAACAGTAGATTATACAATCACTTGTCTGAGCACAAGGACATCTGAATGCTTTTCTATTGGCGCTGTTAGCAAAATAGCCTAATTTCAAGCAATTTCAATATCGTAGAAGTTGAATTACTTGCTTTGAGCAAAAACATTTACAGTCAGTGAGATAAAAGGAAATTTTTAGACGGTACCTTTGTTCCTGATGAAGGAAGGAAAAGTTTTTTGTTTTTAACAGGAAGATTCTGGCTTGGGAGCCTGAGATTTGTGTGTGGAAAGGAAATGGGGGCAGGGGAAGAATGGAGCAGGAATAATTTAAGGGCTGTACGAGATCCTATGTGAATTTTCTGCCTTTAAGCTTTTGAGCCAAACCGTGGAGTATTTTCTTTGGGCCTGTCACAGGGCAGACCTTCCTTCTCCCTTCCCTGGGGGAGTAGGGTCCCATGCAACTTGAGCCCATGGCATGCCCTACATAACCAGTAAACAACCTGGAGTCTGGCTCCTCCCCTCGGGGCTGGATAGTCTAACCGCCAGAGGCAGTAAAACAAAGTTACTTGTAGGCCCAGTAAAGCAGGGCTGGAGGGCCCAATGGCCAGAGTCAGAATCAAAGTCAATCGCCGGTCCTTTAAGGCAGGGCTGGAAGGCCCAATGAGCTAAGTCATGGGGGTGGGGGCTGTATCTCGGTCAAGGGACCCCTACTTCACCGGGTCCTAGCCCAGGGTTGTGTGAGTAGCAGAACAGCCCACCACTCCCTCAGCAGAGAATCCAACTGAAACACGCCAAGCATCTCAGAGTAGGAGAGTAGGGTTGCCAGATGGTTTAACCAAAAATACCAAACATTCCCCCCCCCCCCCCCCCACACACACACAAAAACACCCAGGAAAAAATTCTGTTGGGGGTCAGAAAGGGCTGGCCCAGTTGCCAAGTGTGTCATAGGGCTGCCAGGTGTCTGGTATTTTCGCCTCCTGGCAGGGAGAAAAATAGAAAATACCAGACACCTGGCAACCCTTGGGGAGAGGCTGCTCCTGCACCCTCCCTGGGCCGCTTCCTACCTGATCCGTGGGCTGACTGCCCACATGGTAGCTGGGTCTTCTGACTCCTCAGGGACCACACTTCCCTGGCAGTCTGCAGTGGTTATGTCCCATCCCGGCAGGGAGCCCCCTCAGACAGCAGGCGCTGGCTGCTGCTGTTCAGGAGCCCCAACATGAGGTCCTTCTCCTCCAGCAGCCAGCCAAGACTGAGCCTCTCCCCAGGTTTTATACCTGGGCTACAGTCTGAGCATGCCCGGCAGGGCTGCAGCGGCAGGGCTCCTTCAGTCAAGGTAACCTGGCTAAGCCCAGTTAGCTCAGTGCAGGACCAGTGTACCCCATCACAGGACCTCTAGCTGTGTTACCTGTTCTCTGGCTTGGTAGGGTCCCATGCAGGGTGATAGGGGGAGGACACGCATCCTGCCCCCAGCCTTCCCTAATTGCTACTCACTGACCCCTAAGTTCTCAGCAACAACTTTGCAGAGTCCCTGGGAAAGGGGCAAAATGACAGAGAAGTGGATGAGGCCCTCTTTGGTCTCCCCAAGCACACAAAGGTCTCTCTATTAGGATGCAAACAGAGCTTTACAGAGGCAGAATATTGATGCCATTAGGTGTCATGTGTGTGAGGTTTTCCAAGCTGGCACTTTGAATACAAGCTATTACAATCATAGCTATTATAAATGAACACAGCATTTGTTAGCAAAACATATTTTGAGTAGGGTTATACTCCCATTTATTTTCCTTCATGTCTATTTTCTCTCTCATGCAAAAAGCCTATTGTAGCTATCTTGAAACACCATGCAAGACGCAGGAAGTTCAAGGACAATGTCATAAGTATTCTGGAAGATACATAGATAAAACTGGAGCCTAGGAATGCAGGCATCAGAGATGGAAGCCCTTTTGGGTCCCTCTATTGCATATTCCACAGGCCAGATCAGAACTATTTTCTACTAGACACTTTTCAGGACTCTGCCCAATATATTTTTAAATGACTCATGCAATGAGGCCTTAACCCCTTCCATTGGGAGACAATTACTCGTGTTACCAAAGTTGTTCCCCTCCCTCAATATAGAAAAATACTGAGCCTAAAATTTCCTTTTCTTCATTTAAATTCTTTACTTCTGTTGTACCCTCCTGAATGACTCTAAATGGGTCTCTCCTTGATTATTTTCACTCAGGTTTAATAAGGACCTTTAATTGTTCCTTCCTAAGTGGAGCAAAGTGCTCCCCTTAGGAAGGAACAATCAGTTTCACACATAGGCTGTGTCTAGACTGGCCAGTTTTTCCGCAAAATCAGCTGCTTTTGCCAGCTGTCTACACTGGCCGCTTGAATTTCCGCAAGAACACTGACGATCTTATGTAAGATTGTCAGTGTTCTTGCGCAAATACTATGCTGCTCCCGTTCGGGCAAAAGCCCTCTTGCGCAAATCATTTGCGCAAGAGGACCAGTGTAGACAGCACAGTACTGTTTTGTGCAAAAAAGCCCCGATGGCTAAAATGGCGTGCGTCTAGATTGGAATGGACGCTTTTCCGCAAAAAGTGCTTTTGCGGAAAAGCGTCCGTGCCAATCTAGACGCTCAGTTCCGAAAATGCTTTTAACGGAAAACTTTCTGGAAAATTTCTGGAAAATCATGCCAGTCTAGACGTAGCCATACAGAATGGGAAGCAACTGTCTGGGAAGGAGCACTGCAGAAAGGAATCTAGGGGACATTGTGGACCTCAAGCTAAATATGAGACAACAGTGTGACATTTGCAAAAAAAAGCAAACATGATTCTGGGAGGCATTAACAGGAGTGTTGTGAGCAAAACATGAGACGTCATGCACTGATTAGGGCTCAGTTGGAGTTCTGGGCACCACATTTCAAGAAAGATGTGGAGAAGCTGGAGAAGGTCCAGGGCACATGAAGGAGGAGGGGTAGGGGTATTAGCATTTGAGGTAGATCCTAGATTGCATTTAAATTCAAAAAGTGATCTTGTGCTTAAAAAGATTGGAGACCCCTGATCTAGACGGTGTTTGGTCCTGCTGTGAGGGCAGGAGACTGGGCTTGATGATCTCTCGAGGCCCCTTCCAATTCTAGTATTCTATTATTCGATTTCCATTCATTAGTCTGACCCCCTTTAGTTACCACTTAGCAATTCTACAGTTTTCTTAATAGTAATACCTGAATCTTACATAGCATTTTATATCCATTGATCTCAACATGCTCTTAAAAAAGTAGTAAGCGATATTATCCCCATTTTACAATGAGGGTTCAGGACCAGATTAAAGATATTAAGTATCAACTAATTGACTAGTTGATGCATTTTGCATCGACTATTTGATTAGTCAATAGGGTGCCTCCCCCTTTGAAGTGTAGCAACAGCCCTACACTTTAAAGGTGAAAGCGCCTCATGGAGCCCGGGGTCCCGCTGACCCTGGGGTCCGTGAGATGCTGCTCCTTTGAAATGCCACAAGGAGCCTGACGCTGGGCTCCCTACAGTGTTTCAAAGCGGCAGCACCGCACCAGAGCCCGGGGTCAGCTAAGGACACCCCAGCTGGCCCCGAGCTGCATGTGGCATTTCAAAGTGGCCCCAGGCTTCAAGCTGTGCTGCTGCTTTGAAGTACCTTCTCTTCTCTACCTCTATCCCCTGCAGCTGCCTCTATCTGATAGAGGCAGCAAGGCCGGGGTGGGGAGAGAGCGACTAGTCAACTATCCTGTCATCTAGTCCTTCATATCTCTAGACCAGATTTGTGCTGTTGAGCTGATCCAGTTTGTCAATATCTGATAACGTGCTGCTCAGAACCAAATATGTTGTTCCAGTTGAGGTTCACCAGGACTGTATAGGGACAGCCAAGAAATTACCCTTTTTAGATCAGCTCAGTAACCCTCCTGGTCCTGTATCTGATAGTGACCAGAACCAGACCCTTCAGAGACTGGCCTGAAAACTCTTCTACAAGCTGATGTGGAATAAGCTGCCCTAGACATAGGGCTTGTCTATACTATGGAGAAGATCGAAGCTGCCCCGGTTTATCTTCTGGGGTTCAAATTCGCGGGTCTAGTGAAGACACACTAATTCAAGCTGAGGGCTCTCCCATCAGCACTGGTCATCCTGCTCCTACAAGGAGTAAGAGAAGTCGAAGGGAGAGTGTGTTCTCGTCGAACTCCCGCTGTGTGGGCAGCACCAAAATGTGATTTAAGATGCTTCGATTCCAGCATTAACATAGCTGGAGTTGCACATCTTAATTCAGACATCCCCTAGTGTAGACCTGGCCATCGAGATCAGGAGTTAAGGATTGGCACAAGCCCTGAGGTACAAGAAGCAGCGCAAATAAGGTGATCTGATTTGGTACCCCTTCCCCACACAATATTTATAGCCAGTGCAGCATACCAGAAAGACAGAGGAGGAGCAGAACACGGGGCCTTCAGGCTGCTCCACACCAGCAGCTCCTCTGGCATGGTTGTACTACCCCCAGCCCTTCCACACAGGGTCTCTTCCATTTGTACAGCAGCCCGTCCTGAGGATAGGGCTGGGGTTGTACAGCCGCACAGGAGTAGCTGCCCAGCAGCCCCCCCGTTCTGCTCCTTCCCCCTGTGCTGTTCCTGGGAGAGCCTTGTGATTCAGGGAAAGGCGCACAATGTTGGCGGTTCCTCCAGCATGGTTGTACTGCCCTCGAGCAGGGCTGCTGTACAGATCCCAGAGAGCGCCAGGGGAGCTGCCAGCGTGGGGCAGCTATGGCAGTTCCTCAGTCTCCAGCACAGCAGAAGGAGGAAAGAGCACACCCTCTTTTCCCAGGTAATATGGGATGGATCATAGGGAGGGGACAGGGAGAGCAGGGGGGGGCCTGGGCTAGGAGCAGGGAGGAGTCACATGGAGGGTTAGGGTTAGGGTTAATAGTCCAATAATCAGCAGATACCATTATTGGACCTAACCAAGTGAGTTATAAGATCAAGAACACATATTCCTGCGCATCCAGAAATATAATCTATGCTATCATGTGCCGAAAGTGTCCGTCTGCTATGTACATTGGACAGACATCTCAGACACTTCGCCAAAGGATTAATGCCCACAAAACAGATATCAGACAAGATCACAAAGAAAAACCAGTTTCTTGCCGTTTTAACCAGAAAGGACACTCTCTCAATGACTTAACCACCTGCATTCTGCTACAAAGACCTTTTACATCTGCACTTGAAAGAGAATCCTCTGAACTGTCATTCATGTTAAAATTCGACACTCTCCGGGAAGGAATGAACAAACACTTGAACTATCTTACCCATTACCAAGATAGCTTCCCCAATTATCACCTCTAATACCATTAGCTCACAGACGTCCCACTCTCCCCACCTCTAATATCATCAATTCACAGACACTTACCTTCCTTCCTTCCCTCCCACCCCCCGCATCCCCCTCCTGTTCTGAAATGTGATTTGTCCTTTTCATATGTGTTCATTTTTTTTAATTGTATCCTTTGGTATATATGGTTGTGACTATTTTCTTCCACTATTTGATCCCACGAAAGCTCATCATCTAATAAACCATCTTGTTAGTCTTTAAAGTGCTACATTGTCCTGCATTTTGCTTGGGCTGTTAGAGGACATTGAGGGGTAAATTAGAGCTAAATAACAGCCCAGAATACTGAGAGCCAGGACTGGTGGCTGTAAACAAACTTTATACAACTGCAGTAAACTTGTCCATGCCCATGAAAAGTGGACATCTGGCTAACTAAAATCATTCTGGACCACAGATGTTTCTGGACTAGAGAGGTTCAACCTGTACTTCTCACTCCCCAGAGGGATTAGCTACATTTGTGAGGTTGAATCATTTGATTTTACTTCTTCGCTAGCTGCAGTGATATTATTTCCCTCCCATATGCTAGGCCGAGTCCAGGCTGGATTTGGCACCATGTCTCACTGGCTATGTCTAGACTGCAAGCCTCTTTCGAAAGATACTTTCAAAAAAGCCTCTTTTGAAAAAGAGCATCTAGACTACAACCAGTACTTTCGAAAAAGCAAGCCACTGTTTCAGAAGAGAGCACTTAGGCAGTCTGGATGCTCTCTTTCAAAAAAGCACAGTTTGCACTACATAACATCTTTTTTCGAAAGAGCACTTTTAAAAAAAGACATAATTTCCTCATAAAACGAGGTTTTCCATGGTCGAAAAAACCTCCGCATTCTTTCGATTTATTTTCGAATGAACATGGCAGCAGCAGTCTAGACGCAGGGGAAGTTTTTTCAAAAAAAGGTCACTTGAAAAAAAAACCCTGTAGTCTAGACACACCCACTGTGACAGTCTCACTCATTCCAGCTTTCTGGTTTTTCCTTTTCAGAGGCAGGTGGGTGACTGGACAGGCGGTGCTCCGTTTCCTGTTTGGATGCCATGAGTTCCACAGCAAGGAAGGGGTGCGCTGCTGGTAAATCTTATGCCCCGGCACACTCGTGGCAGCTTCCACAGATCATCATTGTGGACGTCAAGCCACCCTTTTGGGCCAACACCTGCTCTAAACTTTGTGAAGCCCTTGAAAACTTCTTTTGTCTGGCATGTAGTCTGGCAGGTTCCTGTCGCATCCCACTGCTGAGCCTCTATGTGGTGCAGAACCAGCATGAGTGCCTGCTTCCCTTTGTGGTGAGCGTAAAACGATTTTAGTGCCTGGTGTTCTCAACCTTTAGCAACCAAGGGCCCCCATTTTGATTTAAAATGTTTTGCAGACCCCCCCACCCATTTTCCCCCACTCCCCAGGGCCCCACCCCATCTCTTCCCTCCCCTGCCCCTCCTCCTCTCCCTGCCTCCTCCCAAGCATGACCCCTCCCTGCTTTTCCCCTTCCCTCCCAGCCCCTCCCACATGCAGCAGAGCAGCTGTCCCCAGCACGCAGGAAGCACTAGCAGGGAGGGCAAGAATCCATCAGCAGGGTCAAGAGTACTCTTGCAGACCCCAGGGATCCACAGACCTCAGTTTGAGAAACATGGTTACAGAGCTCATATTTTAAAGACTGTAGCACAATGAGGATGAATTAGAAGTTGTTATATGTAATGAAATTTATGATCCTCAATCACTTTATGGGTTTCATGGAAGAAATGAATCTTAAAAGGAGGGATTTGAAATGACAGTGCCTAGTGACCAGATGAAATCAACTGCCGCAAGGGCTGGGTTCAATATCTAGGGGCACCTCTTAACTACGCAGAGCCAACTCTAGCCACCACCCAGTCTTCTGGGGAAAGTTCACCCTGCCTCTCCCATCCCCCAGTGCCTCTAGGAGGGGATATTTCCCTTTTCACAGCACTGTATCTGTTTATAACAAAAGATACGTTTTATTAAGAGGGAAAGGGAACCGAGCATTAGTTTGGGAAAACACCACAAGAACATTCAAAAACATGCAATCATAAGACAAACACCCATCCAGAGTACATTGGGCAGTGTCTCGTGCCTCAGTTTCTCCCCTTGGAGTGTTAGTCTGACAAACAAATGCTCCTTTAACACACCATTCCCTTCCACTGTACCCCACTCCCAGTTGCTGTCGTTGGTCAGCCAAGATCCAGAGTTCAGAGCTGTGTTCATGGCAGTTCACCTCCCACGCTGGGGAGCAGGAGGAGAGGTGGTGAACCAGTCCTCAGCTGCTGCTGCTCCAACTGTCTCACCTCACTGCTGCTCCATCATTCGGTCTGCCCCTACTGGCCACTGCACAGTTGCTTTCTCTGCTGCTCTCTTTAAATCCCACTCCTTAACTCAGCTCTCAGCTGGTGAGGGTCCACTGAAATGCTGCCGCACACTAGGCTTAGCACTTAGACCTGGTTATCAGTGATTTCAGCTCTAGGCTATGTCTAGACTACAGAGTTTTTCTGAAAAAACTTCTAGACTGCCGTTGCGTTCTTTCGAAATTAAATTGAAAGAACGCTGCAGTTTTTTCAACAACAGTAAACCTAATTTTACGAGGAAGAACGCCTTTTTTCAAAAGAGCTCTTTCGAAAAAACGCATTCTTGAATGCAAACAGGACTTTTTTGAAAGAGCATACAGATTGCCTGGGTGCTCTCTTTCAAAGAAGCGAATCGCTTTTTCGAAAGTGTTTGGCTGTCTGGACGATCTCTTTCGAAAGAGGCTTGTAGTCTATACGTACCCCTAGTGATCACTTGACAAAACAAGGTGCTCAACTGATGCTACTCAGTTGTACCTTTAAACTGGAGAGGATGAGAGTTAAGTTGTGTCTAGGACACTTATGCAGAGCACCAGGTACAAACAGCTGTCCCCACCCTCTGTCCTTTTTCCACTGGGATTTGGCATCTCTATCCCTGCTAGTAAGTGCAGTTCAGTTGAGGGTGACCCCCTCAATCAGGCCACGCTAAGTCCAGTTCTGCTGCCCTTTACACATACAATAAAGATAGTATTTCATTATCCCTGCATTCAATACCTCAGTGATTTGTAACCCACCCCCAGCCAGAAATCAGTCACTTTGGCACCACAGCGCTGCCAGCTGAATAGCTAGGCAGGATAGGAGTGATTGTACAAATACACTCTGATCTTGAAGTCTTTTGCCCCCGGCTCATCACTAGATTTCAGGGAGAGCTCATTCAGATCCTACTTACAAAATTATTATACATAAAGAAATTTCTGAATCACTTTTTATGAGTTTCATTGAAGAAGTGAATCTTAAGGAGGAATCTGAAAGAAGAAGGCCTAGGGTCTTGGAACTCTTGAGATGTACATTTTCCATAACTGAGCGATCATGTGATTTTACTGCTGTAACCCTTGCCCTTCTCCAACTGATGGTTGGATCATCCCACTCTGCTAACCACAGCTGAAGTTTGATAGTGAGCCCATTGAGCCATGGAATTTGCTGCGTAAAGCATCAGCTCAGCCTCAGCACTGCTCTGAACGGTGCCACCACAACTAATTTGCCAGGGATCAGCATAGAGCCTTGCAACCTAATGGACTCTGACTAGGATCTGCTTCAGATCAGGACAGTAAACAACCAGCATCCCTCTGGCTCAGGTCAAGCCTGATCACCTCCTCTGCCTATGGGATCCATATGGTAACTGCTGTCACCTCACTGCATTATGATCATCTAATTTGACCTCCTATGTTTCACCCTTCACCCAGTCACAGCTGTATCGAGCCCCATAATTTATACCTGACTAAAGCACATTTTCCAGAAATGCATCCAGTCTTCATTCAAAGACTCCAAGATGTGAAGAATCCATGAGTTCTCTTGGTAGTTCCCTTTTTTTTAAACAATGCCTTTTTAAATCTCTCTCTGCTACTTTGACTTGGTTGTTAGGCCATGGTGGCACTTTTTTGGTTCTCTTACTGTGTTTTTACATTTAGGGTATACATTTAAGTTGAGCTTCTATTATGGTGTCTTTGAAAACTTTCCATGCATCTTGCAGGGATTTCACTTTTGTCACTGGACCTTTTAATTTTTGTTTAACTAACCTCCTCATTTTTGAGTAGTTCCCCTTTCTGACATTGTTTTTCCCACTACAAGGTTGTTACATTAATTATATTAGGGTCACTATTTCCAAGCAGTCCAGTTATATTTACCTCGTAGACCAGAACCTGTGCTTCACTTAGGACTAAATCAAGAATTGCCTCTCCCCTTGTGTTTTTTATCTTGATAGCCTCTCTAATCTCCCTTAGCATTTCATAGTCACTATCACTATCCTGGTCAGGTGGTTGGTAATATATCCCTACCGCTATATTCATACTATTAGAGCAGGGCTACTCAACATGTGGCCTGCGGCCCATCTGTTTGCAGCCCACAGTGCAGTTTGGGTTTACACGGGGCTCAACATGCGGACTGCGGGCGAGAGCCAAAACAAAAAAGTAGTCAATATAATGGTCTTCTATTGACATGTGTTTTAGTAGTTAAATTCCTGGGCTGTCATTGCTCATTAAAAATGCTGTCATATGGGTGGAAATCAGGTAAATATTGCATTTTATTAATATCAACAGAACTTACTTAAATGGGGCCTGCATGTTGTGTAGTCTTGCCTTAATCTTTGTATTCATGCCCGTCAGTATGAAAGAAGCTCTTTGCATATATTTGCATATATATTTGCATGTGTATGCAACCACACTTAAGTTGTGGCCCTTGGCATGTGCTGTTAGTATCATTGTGGCCCCTGGGGCTTCCAAAGTCAAATAGCCCTGTATTAGATCATGGAAGTATTGTCCATAAAGATTATATGGAACAGTTTGGTTCATTTAAGATTTTTACTTCATTTGATTCTACAACTTCTTTCACGTATAGTGCCAATCCCCCACCAGCATGAACTGTTCTGTCCTTCTGATATATTTTGTACCCTGGTATTACAAAATATTGATTGTTCTTATTCCACCAAGTTTAGGTGATGCCTAATACATCAATATCCTCATTCAATATGAGGCATTCTAGTTCACCAATCTTATTATTATGACTTCTAGGCTGTGTCTACACTCGCTGCTTCTTGCACAAGTACGGCCATTCTTGCGCAAGAATCCGCAGAGCGTCCACACTGCCTGCCTGCTCTTGCGCAAGGAAATTTACAGTTCGCCGTGGTAGGAGAGGGCTCCTTGCGCAAGAGCTACACTCTTTTTTTTAACAAGTGTAAACCCTCTTGTGCAGGAGCTCTTGCGCAAGAAGGCAGTATGGACGCTCGGCAGGGATTTCTTGCACAAGAAAGCCCTATGGCTAAAATGGCCATGAGAGCTTTCTTGCGCAAGAGAGCATCCACACTGCCATGGATGCTCTTGCACAAAAGCACATCTCTCACATGGCAGTGTGGACGTTTTCTTGTGCAAGAAGCTGCTAGTGTAGACATAGACCTAGTGTTTGTATATAAACACTTTAAAAACATTTCGTTATTTAGCTGTCTGCCATTACCTGTTGACTGTTTCTCATCCGATCTTACCCATATCTTATCATCTACCATCCTCTTCTCTTTACTAGGACATAGAGAAAAGATAATCCCAACTATACATACAAAATGGTGGGTCCTAAATTAGCTGTTAGCAGACATGAAGGATTTTTGGCATCATCATGGAGAGTTCTTTGAAAACAGCTACTCAGCTTGTTTCGAGTGCTGCTGCAGGCTAACAGAAAGTTAGGAACCATTAGGAAATGGATAGATAAAAAAAATCATAATTCCGTTATCCATTGCACACTCACACCTTGAACACTGCATGCAGTTCTGAAAAAAGATACATTAGAATTGGTAACGGTGCAGACAAGGGCAACAAAAATGAACATAAGACCATCTGGCCACCCTCTCCCTCACCCCAACTCCCTGCTCCAATTCACCACCCCAACTCTCTGTACTCCTCTTCCCCAGCTCACAGCTTCCTCTTAGACTCAGCACTCCCTCCTACACCTCCTCCCCAGGCCAGAATCCTCTTCTATGGCCATACCCCCTCTCCTCCCCGATTCCCCCTTCCCAGGTCACACCCAATTCCTCAGACCCTGCACTCTCTCCTTTCCTCCCACAGGCCAGATTCCTCTCCTGCATCCATATCCCCTCCCCTCTCCTGCACCCCAATCCCCACCCCAGGTCACAACCCCCTCCTTCACCCAAACTCCCTTTCAGACCCCGCACCCTCTCCTGCACCTCAGTCCCCTATTCCATGCTCCTTTCTGCACACAAAAGTATGACTCTTGACCACTTACCAAAATCTTGGAGTGGCCCCCATCAAAAATTATTGTCCACCCTTGGTGTAGAGAAAGCCTAACTTGCAGTCAGTTAGCTTCCAGGTTCTTTGTATTGCATCTGCCTTATTCAGCTTTCATTCCATACAGTTGGGGAATACAATAATGCTTTGCATTAGTGCCCTTTATTTAGAAAACAAGTACTGTATTTAGATAGGGTATCCTTTAAACACGCTATTGTGAATCTGAATGTGGAAGTGTGCATACCCCTACATAAACATCTTTACTCTGTTTAGAAAATGGCTGTGCCAAGCAGGACAAAGACTAGAGTCTCCCAGTAAGGATAGCAGGAGATTGCAGACAAATACAGTAGTACTTTGTTTGATCTAGAGCTTTGGGATTAGGAACTAATCCAGTGTTATTTCTACATATTCACTAGTCTGGGCCCATTAACTAAAGCTGCAGAAGGTTAAGGATTAAAGCCCCTAGCACACTAATTGTGGCTTCTTTTGCAGAGTAAATAGGATAAAGTCTTTGGAGTATGTTCATAAAGCTTTGACCTGGTTTTTAAGCCAAGCAGAGGTTTAAAAAATATATAATTTCTAAAAGAGTTTCTCATACTAGGGCCTGCATAGGCTTACTGGGACTCTCAAAATCCCTGCATCTCTCTCTAAAATGTGCCAGTTAGTATAAACCCACTTGGTCTGGGCACACAGAATTTTCCCCTCTAAAATGTGAAGTGTTATGTTCAGAGTCTAACTCTTACCAGTACTGAGCAGCGTGTTACTCCTCAAGGGACCCCGATGACATTTGTGGAGACTCCCCCAACTCTGAGTAGTGAGTATTCACATTGGGTCACATCAGAATCTAGCTCTGCATTTAATGGTAATGGTCCCTAACACTCCCTGGCTTTCAAACAGATTGCAGTTTGGTTCCCTGGGCTAATGGAGACTGAAGGTCAAATTCAAAGGGGGTCTTGGAATGTAAATGCATGTACACCTTTTGCTGGGGCCATCAGTGTGTATTTAGCAGCAATTTGGTCATTCTGTGGGTCAGCTGTAAGTCTTTGTCACTAGTGTAGTTTAACTGACATCTAACCATTCCACAAAGGGTAGTACGCCCTAGTAGGCTTGATCTCAACCAGCTCCAATGCAGAAAAGTTGTTAACCTCTGTCTACACTAGAGAAAGGTCATGCTTGGGTACCTGTGGTAGAGAACCTTGACAAATCATAAACAAACACAACATAGAAGATGCCTGTCCTCTTGGTAGCTAAGCATTATATCCTCTCTCACCATGGGACAAAACACAAACAGCTGTACTGGGATTCACCTGTGTTAGTGATTTGTGCCTCTGGAGCAACAGACTGAACTAGACAAGTGGTCTATCCAGTCCAGCACCACCGGTTGCCTCCAAGGAAGGTTCAGGAAATTCCACAACAGTCAGGTAGTTATGAGATAACCTTCCCAAAGGTAGGGGCAGGAGAAGGAATCTTCTTCCTAGTCCCTCATTGAGTCAGGTCTTGAAGCAAGAGGTTTATAGCCCTCCCAAAATTCATTATTTTAAAAATCTTTACAATTATAACTTTAGATAGCCTTGTGATCCATGTCACTGTCCAGTCCTTTTGGAAACCTGTCATCCTGGGGCAATGTGTTCCATAACTGATATGTGCATGGTGTGAAAAATCATTTTTGTTTTAAAATTTCCTCTCTTTAATTTCGCTGGATCCTGTCTTGCAGCAAGTAAAAGGGAGCTTTCCTCGGCTGCAGACCTGCATTTCAGAACTGCGCTCTTTACCTAGAGAAGGAACTTTCCAACAAAAGGGGGACAATGTGATGCAAGCTGTGCAGGACGGCCTCCAGCAATTTAAACAGTACACCAGACATATGCCACCAGCAGGCTCAGCAAACCGTTCTGTTGAGGTAAGGAGAGTGCTTGGGAGATAGTAGTAGCCATCAAGTGCAGTCTGTCAGTCTGTCCAGCTGTCTGTACAGGTTGAACCTCTCTGGTCCAGGAATCTCTCCTCTGGCAACATCCATGGTCACTGGACCAGAACGCCCCAGTGTTCGTGGGGTGGGAGCCTGGACAGCTGGGCAGCCCCAGGGACTGGCAGCAGAGCCGGTGGCCAGGAGGGGAGACAGCTGGGAAGCTAGTGGCCCTCCAGAGAGCTCTGACCTCCCCATGTCCAGCAAATTCCCTTATTCCCTTATCCCAGTCAGGTCCCAAGGGTGCTGGACCAGGGAGATCCAACCTGTATATTTTGTGTGTCAGTCACAGTGTTATCTAAGCATCATGGGAGGAAGTAAGTAGCATAAAACAATCCCAAGAAGGAGAATCACACAGCTTGCTCTGTAGGATGCCCAAGATCTCATGCCACTTACAGAGTCAAGTTACTCATGGGATAACATGGCCCTAGATGTGAGAGGGAAGACTGACACATGATGAGAAGCATTAACTGATTGTTCCAACTTCCCATTTTCTACACTGTTAATCTGTAGACATCTTCAACTGGATATTCTTGCAAGTTGATTTTATTTCTCCTAAGATCATACCGAAACCCACTGTCTCTGCATTCTAGATACTTTTGATACCACTTCCCTGCCTGCCTACACTTACGTTCTAGGGTCATGTTCTGCCTATATTCCCTGGATGGAATTTCACTAACATCAATAGGACATTTGTGCAAAGATCCTAGTTATGATTTAAAGTATGCCAGAGTTCATTAAAACATCAGCTCAAATGGACAAAAGAAAAGCATTTTATTGTGGGATTAGTTGGCACAGTAGCAAAGAACAGGAAAAGCCTACAAAAAGATCATTATTGTAGCACAATCTTTAAATCAATTTTCCATGCAAAAAGCAAATAGGATCAGTACTTGGAAAACAGAGAAACTTTACAGTCAGTATTTCATTGTCTAAGCGGCAGCTTGAGACTTCTGTAGGACTCCTTGCCCCGTGCACTCAAACACAGACCCTTGACCATTATGCCTCTATTGTGTCCCCCTTACTCATTGCCTCTCTAAAGTAAACAGACTCAGTCTTTTCACTCTCGTTATATAGAAGGTTGTTGAAGCATCTAAATGTAATTTCCCATCTCTGAATTCTTTCTATTTCTCTTACTCTTTTGTGATTCAGTCGCTAGAAATGAACACTGCACCCCAGGAAAGGATGCCCACTGATGTATAGAGTGGCATTGTAAATATTAGAGGGGTAGCCGCGTTAGTCTGGATCCGCAAAAGTCACAAGGAGTGGGTCTTTGCCCACGAAAGCTTATGCTCCAATACATATGTTTGGGAATGTCTACACTACAGCGCTAATTCGAACTAACTTAGTTCGAATTAACTTTAATAGGTGCTTAGTTCGAACTAGGTAAACCTCATTGCACGAGGACTAAGCCTAGTTCGAACTTACTAGTTCGAATTAAGTGGCTACACACCCCTTAATTCGAACTAGTAAGTTCGAACTAGGCTTAGTCCTCGTGCAATGAGGTTTACCTAGTTCGAATTAAGTGGCTACACACCCCTTAATTCGAACTAGTAAGTTCGAACTAGGCTTAGTCCTCGTGCAATGAGGTTTACCTAGTTCGAATTAAGTGGCTACACACCCCTTAATTCGAACTAGTAAGTTCGAACTAGGCTTAGTCCTCGTGCAATGAGGTTTACCTAGTTCGAATTAAGTGGCTACACACCCCTTAATTCGAACTAGTAAGTTCGAACTAGGCTTAGTCCTCGTGCAATGAGGTTTACCTAGTTCGAATTAAGTGGCTACACACCCCTTAATTCGAACTAGTAAGTTCGAACTAGGCTTAGTCCTCGTGCAATGAGGTTTACCTAGTTCGAATTAAGTGGCTACACACCCCTTAATTCGAACTAGTAAGTTCGAACTAGGCTTAGTCCTCGTGCAATGAGGTTTACCTAGTTCGAATTAAGTGGCTACACACCCCTTAATTCGAACTAGTAAGTTCGAACTAGGCTTAGTCCTCGTGCAATGAGGTTTACCTAGTTCGAATTAAGTGGCTACACACCCCTTAATTCGAACTAGTAAGTTCGAACTAGGCTTAGTCCTCGTGCAATGAGGTTTACCTAGTTCGAATTAAGTGGCTACACACCCCTTAATTCGAACTAGTAAGTTCGAACTAGGCTTAGTCCTCGTGCAATGAGGTTTACCTAGTTCGAATTAAGTGGCTACACACCCCTTAATTCGAACTAGTAAGTTCGAACTAGGCTTAGTCCTCGTGCAATGAGGTTTACCTAGTTCGAATTAAGTGGCTACACACCCCTTAATTCGAACTAGTAAGTTCGAACTAGGCTTAGTCCTCGTGCAATGAGGTTTACCTAGTTCGAATTAAGTGGCTACACACCCCTTAATTCGAACTAGTAAGTTCGAACTAGGCTTAGTCCTCGTGCAATGAGGTTTACCTAGTTCGAATTAAGTGGCTACACACCCCTTAATTCGAACTAGTAAGTTCGAACTAGGCTTAGTCCTCGTGCAATGAGGTTTACCTAGTTCGAATTAAGTGGCTACACACCCCTTAATTCGAACTAGTAAGTTCGAACTAGGCTTAGTCCTCGTGCAATGAGGTTTACCTAGTTCGAATTAAGTGGCTACACACCCCTTAATTCGAACTAGTAAGTTCGAACTAGGCTTAGTCCTCGTGCAATGAGGTTTACCTAGTTCGAATTAAGTGGCTACACACCCCTTAATTCGAACTAGTAAGTTCGAACTAGGCTTAGTCCTCGTGCAATGAGGTTTACCTAGTTCGAATTAAGTGGCTACACACCCCTTAATTCGAACTAGTAAGTTCGAACTAGGCTTAGTCCTCGTGCAATGAGGTTTACCTAGTTCGAATTAAGTGGCTACACACCCCTTAATTCGAACTAGTAAGTTCGAACTAGGCTTAGTCCTCGTGCAATGAGGTTTACCTAGTTCGAACTAAGCACCTATTAAAGTTAATTCGAACTAACGTCCGTTAGTTCGAATTAACTTTGTAGTGTAGACCTTAGTCTATAAGGTGCCACAGGACTCCTTGTCACTATTGTAAATATTGTTTTTCTAATAATGCAAAATGGATTTTTTCTGGTCTTGGATGCTGATATGTAGGTTTTTTCATTCTTACATAATTTTGCTTTCTTCCCCCTCATTTCTCACCCACTCCACATTTGGTGAGGATATGGAGGGACTGGGGAGGGTAAGTGATGGATTTTCATTCTGGAACATTCTGATTCTGATTTGGGTGTTTATTTCAGTGTTGGAGGGCAATTCAGAGTAGGGGTAATTCACGGGTGACAGTTACCTTCTGTAACTAACAACTGAAAATATGAGCACAGCACAATCTTGCTGCAGCTGAAGGAATAAGAGCATTCACTGCAGTTTTAAATGAACTACCTGGCTATGTCTAGACTGGCATGATTTTCCGCAAATGCTTTTAACAGAAAAGTTTTCCATTAAAAGCATTTTCAGAACAGAGCGTCTAGATTGGCACGGACGCTTGTCCGCAAAAGCACTTTTTGCGGAAAAGCGTCCATGGCCAATCTAGACGCGCTTTTCTGCAAAAAAACCCCAATCGCCATTTTCGTGATCGGGGTTTTTTTGCGGAAAACCAATCTCAGCTGTCTACACTGGCCCTTTTGTGCAAAAGCTTTGCACAAAAGGGACTTTTGCCCGAACGGGAGCAGCATTGTATTTCCGCAAAAAGCACTGATTTCTTACAGTAGGAAGTCAGTGCTTTTGCGGAAATTCAAGCGGCCAGAGTAGACAGTTGGCAAGTTTTTCCAGAAAAGCGGCTGATTTTCCGGAAAAACTGGCCAGTCTAGACATAGCCCATGCGTATGCAGGGCCAGATTTATACCTCACATCCCCCTAGGTCCTAGGCAGAGAATCTTCAGCATCCCTCTGCTTACAGTCTAGTCCCCCCACTGTCAGCCAGGCCCAGCTTACACCAATCTCAGGAAGTTCAGCTCTGGAAAGGGAGGTGCCATAAGTAGGTTAGTTGGAAAAGCAGCAACCTTTCACTGCCCTGAAAGGGGGAGGAAGGGAAAAGAAAGGGGGAGAATAAAAGTCCAGCACCTCTTGATCCCCACCTGCCAGGACAACTTAGCTGCAGTTTACTTCCCCACAGGCTCCATAGAGAACACCCCCTCCCAGCACCACCTGTCCCCAAACTAATTACTAGCCACTTTGCTTGAAGCACTGTTTGCAGACCGTCTCCAGGCTTCACAGTTGTGTCAGCAGACTGAGCTACTACTGGGATGTGCGAGCTGTCCCAGGCTTGCTGGAGCCTAGAGAGTCTGGCTCAGGCCATTGGGACAGCAATCCCCCAGCCCTTCCCAGCAGCTGCAAGTGGCATGAGCCATCAGGTCAGATCCTGGCAGAACAGAACAGACAAGGAGACTGCTTCTTCCTCCCCCACTCCCCCGCCAGCCTTGTGCCCCAGGTCTCCTGCAGACCCAGAGCAGCTCCTGATCCCAAAGCCCCTTTGCAATCCAACTCCCTTCCCCAGCCTGAGGGGGG